TCTGAACTGTAAGTGAGCCTCAAATAAAATGTCTTCCATTTTAAGAGTTGCTGTGGTCACAGTGTCTCTCCACAATGATAGAAACCATAAGACAATGGCAAGTGCCATCTCATCAGTTGATGCTGTTTTGGCACAGTCTGTCTCCATACATCAGATTGGCTTTAAATTTCCAGTGATCCTCTTGTCTTTCCCTCTTATGTGCTAGGAGTATAAACAAAGGCCACCATGCCTGAATTGATATCAGTGACAATATTTACCTTAGTTTCAAAGAAACCTAAAGTTATTGAAGATCCCAGAGATTAAACAGACAAGCCAGGGAAAAAGAATTCTTGAGGAAAGGGAGAATGCAAAGTGTACTCTTCAGCTTCATATTACAATAAAGGAATAGCTGAGGCATTTAATGAAGGGAAAGGAATCTTTCAAGACTTCTCTGGAGAGTTCTCCTAGAACCAAGCCTACTTGTGCCAACAACACATCCCCAGGTCTGGCTCTGATATGGAGCTCATTCACTAGCTGTGTCTGATGAGCTCCCCAGAACCTCACCCTCCAGCACTGTCCTCATACCCCCAGGTAGGCTCTGCTCATGAGGCTTCTATACTCAACTTCCCTGGTAAACATAACTCTCATACCTCATTAAATGTTCTTTTTAGGTTTTAATATTTATTTATTTATTCATTCATTCATTTATTTATCTTGGTTTCCCCTCCCTCTTCTTTTTATAGTTCCCCACCCCATTCACTCTTCCTCCATTTTTCTTCAGAAGAGGGCAGGCCTCCTATGGATATCAATCAGCCATAGCTTATCAAGTTGCAGTAAGGCTAGGCACCACCTTTCCTATTAAAGATAGATGAGTCAACCCAGTAAGAAGAAAAGGTCTCAAAGGCAGGCAACAGAATCAGGGAAAACCTCTGCTTGTATTGTTAGAAGTCGTATCAGAAGGACAGCTATATAACTGCAACATATGTGCAGAGGGCCTAGACCTGCCCCATGTAGTCTCCCTGGTTAGGAGTTCAGTCTATATGAGCCACTTATGGGCCTAGATTAATTGATTCTGTAGGCTTTTTTGTGATGTCCTTGACCCATCTGACTCCTAAAATCCTTTCTCTCCTTCTGCAGGATTCCCCAAGCTCCACTTAATGTTTGGTTGTGAGTCTCTGGATTTATTTCCATTAGTTGTCTAGGAAAGCCTTTCTAATGACATTTGGGGTCCAGCTTGAAATCCATGCCTTAAGAGAGCCCACATCAACACTGTCTGGAAGTCTAAAAACCAGAGAACCGATAGCCAGGATCGATAGCCAAGAGACCTAGGATGATGACCTAGAGCCAAACATGAATGGCAAAAAAAAAGCAAAGAAATGATCTTATTTGTATTCTGCTATATTCATTACTCACAGAAATTCTTTTTGCAGCAAATAGAGACATTTAGAGAAATCCAAAATTACTCAAAATATTAAGAAAAGTCACCTGTACATTGACCAATGCCAACTGGTTGATCTACAACACAGCCACTACATTGAGGACTCAGAAGACACCATGGAAGAGGATAGCAAAAATTCAGAACATCAGGATGTCTGCTACTAGATTCTGTATATGATATGAAAGCTGTACCCACGAATTATCAACAATCTGGTCATCTAAACAAGACCTGTACAGTAACAGCATCAGCTGACGTGCTAATGCAGGTGGGTTAATCTCACAAGTCCCCTCCCCTAAGAGAGCTATAGGCAATTAATGACTGCTAGAGAAGAAGATTCAGTCTTCTCTGGGGTCAGGATTCATGATAGGTTATTCAATCTAAGGTGTCAGCCCTAATTGAAATGCACATACATACAGGCAACACTAAAGGGATTAAACACACACCTTTTATACCTGTATATACATTTATTACATACATATGTGTAACAATAATTATGAAAGAAAAAGCGTTCATAATTTTGAAAGAATGAGAAGAACATAAGAAGAACTGGAATGGGAAAAGAGAGTGGTAAAAAAATATATATATAGTATTTATGATTGAAATGATCAAAAAATTTTAGCTTAAGAAAGAAAGCATTTAAAGGTGAAAGTCAATTATATGGTACATAATTAAAAGTACATGGTATCTTATATGTGCTGTTAGAGAATATGGTATGGTAAGTATATTAAGCTATATTATAATTTGTAATTTATTACAGCATGTTACGCTGTAACTATTATAACACTTTGATATGATATACGTTATAGTATATTAAAATAAAGGAATATATAACAAAAAGAAGAGAAATCTAAATTTTTTTCTTGATTAAAAGCATTATGAATAATTGAGGTATTTTACTAAGAATTGGCTTTCAGGTTCATTGTATACTGTCATTACTTTCTTTTCTTTTGTCAGTTGCTGTTTGGCTTTGATACACTGTCTTTCCACAGCTAGATAGATTCCAACTAATAATTCTCCTGTCTGAACTTCTTTTACTGAGTTTGTTGGCTCTGGGGCCAATCTCTTTAACTTTCTAAAAATTTAACATGTTTTTTTGAAGTCAGGAAAAAAAAACCCTAACATATATAAGGTAAAGTAAATCATAATTTTCTAAATATTTAAAGCAAATTCTAACAAATTATGATAATGTTGTACAGACTTAGCAAGCAGGAGGATGGGGCAAAGGAGGAGCAGGAGAGGAGGGCGAGAGTCTTAAAGTGATTAAGTTTGTAAGTTGTTCAAACATCAGAGGTCCTCAGGGATCCCTGGCCAGGGTCAGCTCTTGGCTTAGCTGGTGATGCTCTGTCCATGGTAGGACTCTGCCATCACTGCAGTCCCCACTTTATAGCCAGCAGCTTTTCTCGCCTTCTCTTTGACACCACCTCTGAGGGGACAGAAGAAAACCAAAGACAGAGAGGATAAAAAGAATCACAAATGTGTATACCCATTCCCTCCTGTGGTACCACACTTATGCATTAAGGTTTGGAAATGTGAGCAGGCCTTGTGTGGCTGCTGAGGCTCTGGGAAGAGATAAGGGCTGCAATTTGCCCAAGTCAAGAGGCAGGCTCTCTTTTGGAAGGTACACAGATATCAAATGCTAAGAATGAGTTGTACCCTTCCCTTGACCACATGGTCATCTTTAAGTTCAGTGTTGTTCGAACGTACCTGTGGCACCAAGGTTCTAGCCAGAAAAAAAGAAAATCCTCTTATATGTTCAAACTGATGCCTATGAATAAATAGAATTAATTATAGACAATATTTGATGCATAGGTACTATGCATTGGACATTGTGCCAATGTTTTACATACAACAATGTACTAAGTTTCCGTAATGAATCATGAGAATTTATAATACATCCATTATGTAAACAAAACAAGAAACAATGGTTTGGGAAAGCTAAACTTGCCTTAAATAATAGCTTTAATTTTGTGTTTATTGTCTTGATTGTTCCTTAACTATTTGCATCTATTGTATTGCTAGTCCCTCAACCTAGAACTGACCTTAATACATGCATGTAATTAAAATTGTATAAAAGCATAAAGGAGGAGGGGGGATGGGATAGGTGGTTCTAGGGAGGGGAAAAGGTGAAAGGGGATGGCATTTGTATTGTAAATAAATAAAATATTTAATAAAAAATAATAGTTTTAAGAAAATCAGAAATGGAACCTGGGGTACTAGTATTCCTGAGATCTGTGTCTGTTCACTTGAACCTGTAAGTAACTGCGTGAGTTAAACCTAAAGATTAACTTTGTTCTGCAGAGGAATGGCAGGAAAGGGGACACAGGAGCAAATTGAAATGTTAGACGACTCTAGTTTTTAATTCTCATGTTGCCATTTATTTTATTTGTATGTCGATTTTAAAAATTAGCTGTATTCTTCAAGATTTACAGTGTTCCAAATTTTCAAATTTAGGAAATATGAAACTTTTTAGAATATTCACACTTCGGTCACCACGGCCCCCACTGTCACCAGCCATCACAGTTATCAAGAATTTAGTATCTTCTCGTCTACCTGGAATTGTTACACCCTTCCTTAAAGCTTTTAGATTAAGTGATGTCTACAGCGTACCTCTCTACAACTCTTGCTAATAATAGTAAACATTTACTGTGTGCTTGCTACACGCCAAGGGCTTTCAGTGCATTATCACAATCAATCTTTACAACTACTGCCTGAGACATATTCTAGTGTCATCTATAATTTACAGCAAGAAACAGAACTCAGCACTGCGCAGTCTCTTGATTTTCTCCTACCTACAACCCTAACTGACAGCTGACTTCAGAACCCCGAAAGGGCATCCATGAAAACAGCATGGAATTGCTCGTGAATAATGCTTGCTCCAGGAATCAGAAGCCTGATAGGTTTGGAACTGTCCACGGTCTAGTGCTGCTGAGAACAGTGGTTGTTCATAAGTATTTCCGGGTTGTTTTGTTCCAACTTCCTTTTCCTCAGGGGTGTTGTCAATATTGCCAGGTCCTTTTCAGGACAACGTGAAAAACGGTAGAATCAAATGATCTGAGAACAAACTGATGTTCTCACGTGTAAAGGAACATAGCTGGCACCAGATTTATTACAATGTTCAGCAGGTTTTGCTTTGGTTTTGTTCGTTTGTTTTAAATTAGCAGCCTGAGTGGCACTAAGCAAGAGATGGTATCAAGGATGCACACCTTTGGAGTAATAACAATCTCTCACGTAATTTTTTAGTTTATTTCTTCCAATAGAAAGTGCAATATATTTTATTTAAAATCTATAGACAGTACAAATAAATGTCAAGCTGTTTGATATATTTCAACCTATAACTTAAATCCAACTCTAATTGTTCTTTCCTGGTACCTTTTCACCCTTGGCGCCTCTCAATGAGACCTAGAGCTTAGATTATGAGAGATCAAGAGCATCTCAGAGGCAGGGACTTAGTTTTACTCCAACCCCTGCAGCTTGCATAGCTCCTCTCCCCTCCCCCTTAGCTTGCCACTTGCAATTGGCTATTGCCATGACAACCAGCAGCTGCCGGGGCTGGCTGCTTCTACCGCAGCAGGGGTGGGGCTGTGGGGGTGGGGAGGGAAGGAGGAGCCTGAGGAGGCGTCTGCTGCAAGTTCCTGGCTGATTCAGAGCTCACACCATCCTCCAAGAGGGAGGAGGCTCAAGTGATGCTGCTGCTGTTGCCGCCTCTACTGCTGGTACTCTAGCGGAGCTGGAAAGGGTGGTTCCTATCGCACCATCACCAACCAGAGAGGGAGGGGGAAAAATCCCGGCAGCCGCTGCTGATGTTGGGTTCAGAGGCTGCATCCGACCCGGTCACAAGAAAAATGGATTCAGTGTGCGGCTCTCCCTCCTTTCAGCATCTTCTCCTGGTCTCAGCATGGTGAGTGGGAGGCAAAGGAGCTACCGTCTTGATCTAGATGGTTATTAAATGACTTGTGTATATATCTGTGGCCTAGACTTAAACAATGACTCGCGTCTCTGAGACTAGGAGGGGGGTTGGGGGTGTGGAGACAGAAATGAGGATGGAGAGAGAGGAAGGTTGTCAGCAGAGAAGTGAGAAGGCATCCGCTTCTGTTTTACGGGGAAAAATGATGTTTTGATTTTTATCACAAAGTGGCTCAGAATACTAACTGAACCGCCGGATTCCTTTCCTCTCAAGCTTAGCAACAAAATCAGGGGGTGGAAAGGAACAAGCAAGGAGAGGAGGGAGTTGAAAGCAATCCTTTCCTTTGCAGGTCTCACAAACAGGGCTGGGCCTTCCCTCAAGAACACATTTAGTGTCTCAACCTTGTTGGCCTAATTGTGATTTTACTTATTTGCTCTAGCGCTAACTTGGTCCCAGAATTAGGCATTCTGCTTCACACTTGACCATCTTCTTGTTGAAAGACCATTCCCGAGATCCAGAGTTTCTTTTTCAGGATGTGTCTTTAATTGTGAACATACACATCTACCTATATACACATCGTATGTACACATGCTACGTTGCAGGTGTGTTGCATTTATGGAGCCTATTTCTATGCACAGCACGCTTGATTTACTATCGTTTTTATGGTTATTGATGCCTTTGCATTCTTGGAAGTAATTGCATGTTTTAGGAACCGGACTTCTGGCTTGTATTATTATTCATTGGCTTCATTTGGATTAATGTGACATTTATTCTTGTTATTGTCCCTTAGGTTCATTGTGGACAATTAGGACAGATGCCTATCTTTTCTTCTGTATTAGAGAACTAGATGCCAATTCATAGCTTGGCTGTTTTAATTGGGGTTGTGGGCCTAGGTCGAGGGCCCCAAATTTACAATGATGAGAAAGGGAGGTGGCTTGGAATATTATTTAGCATATTGCATCGTCTCAAATAAATGTTAAAACAGATAGATTTTCTTGAAATTCTGATCTATCCCTTTCATATCTGCACTGTGCTTCAACCAGTACAGCTGAACCGGCAGGTGAGAGGCATTTATTTTATTTAATTGTGTAGATATTTGTTGCTCATTCCTTCGGTGTCCACCACCATTTTATGGTTCTCTCAGAATGTTCTGTTCTTCGGTGGCTTCTCTAAGTGATTAAGTAGGAAGCAAGATGGTTTTAAAAACCCAAGAGTTCTCAAGGACTCCAGGATGAATTTGTCTGCTCATACAATGAAACGAACAACAGCAAGGAGAGCTTGGCAGGAGGATGTGGCTTGTAGTTGAAACCAGGGCGATTGTAGTTTATAAAAGCTTACTGGTATCTGTTTGACCTTTTCTATGCTAAGGCTTTAAGGCAGCTCAGGAGACTAAAGATGCCTGAGATTCGAATATGCAAGGCTCCATTACCACCTAGGATAATGGATTTCATTGAACTAAAGCCAAAAAATCTTTTCAGGTAAAAATGTATTAGTACTAGTACATCCATCAAATACATGAATTGTGTCTACCAACCTTCCCACCATCACTGCCATTGAGAACTTATTTTACAGTCTAAAATAACAGATTTTCATATTAATCTTTCATCTTATTTTATATATATACCCCTAATTCGTAATTTTATATCATTGGATTTGAGTTTTGTGTTTCTGAGGCTTATTTGGTTTATAGATAAGAATGATGCTTCGTGACTTAATTTGATATGCTCATGTACCATGCATATTCACAAGTCTAAACTCTTGCTACCATGTGCCTAATTATAACAACTCTATAAAGTAGGTCAAGGAAGTAGGTACTGGGCTTGTATGTCATGGCAAAAAGGATTTATACCACTACATAAAGATTTTAGAGTGTATTGATAAATGACACTTTTGATTTTCTAAAATAAAAGTTGAAATATTTCTACAGTAAACTTATAAAAATGAAAAGATGCAATACAACAGCTGGGCCTGTTTTATAAATGGAAAGCAGGTGCCCGGTCCCTTTGATTTATTTCCTTTCTACTGAATTTGGATGTGGTTTTATGGGCAAAGTTGGTAGAGATTGAAGAAAGTCTCGTCACAATAAGTCATGGTTAGGAAACTTGGTTGGTAGTCCTATTCAATTATAGGTCTGGACTTCATAAAAGGACAAGTAAGCCAGAACTATGTAATCTGGAGTAGAGGAATTGAGATATAAGCATCACTTGTTTCATATAAGATTCTGTTTTCAAGTAAGACACTAGCAATTGCTACTTTTTGGATGCTGGAGTATGATCAATGGGCTTCAGATTCATGGAAAGAATTAAAATTAGATACACAAAGAATAAAAAGTCTTCAAAGGAAGTGTGGACGGTCATGCACTCTCTTCTGCCGCTGAAGAGTACCAGCTTATGGTCTAAATATGCAGTTGTCTGGGATGTACTGTTTCTTTCTAAAAGTACTCCTAACTTCCTAGAGTCAACTATTTTCTCAAGGGTTCAGATTAGCTGTTTAACATAGGATACTTGGACATTTGTGAATGTAGACTCCATTTTGTAATGTGCTTCTAATTACCAAATCTAGGTACTCTTGAAGAAAGTGATTGATCACCTATCTGGAAAACATTTTTATGTAGTCTTAACACGATGCAGGGATTTGCTTATCAGTAGCTTCACATAGTGTAATGTCAAGTAGTGGTATTCAAATGACTCTCTATTTTATGGCTGATTTTTGATAACTGTAGTATTTTGTAGAATTATTCAAGAGCTACCAAGTTAGTGTTAGAAAAAAAAATGCATGAAGGCTATATCCAATTTATTGTTTCAAGGTGTGTTTAAAGGAAGTAGGGAAGGAAAGTTTGTTGACTTTTCCTCAGTTTATGTCTTGAAAATACCATTCGTTTTAGAATATTAAAGTTAACTACTTATTGATATGTGAGCCTTTATTAAAACTTGTTATAATTGGGATATACATTCAGTTTACTGCTTTATGATGTGATATGTCCAATCTCTTCCAATGACTTCAGAACGTTCTGTAATTTTGATTTCACACTGTGAGTCTTCTTCTGGGTGGCTGAAAGTTTATATTTGGATAGCAAAATCTTCTTCCTGTGGTTCTCATTAATGGCTGAAAAACTTAGTGCTTTTTTTTTTTAATTCTCAAAGTAAGGGCTTAAAAGAAACTGAATTTATTTTGGAAGTTTCAATATTGAATATTCAATATTCATTGAAATAAATAAACCAGATTTACACTTGGTTTTTGATCGGAGAGGTCAGTTAACACAGCCATTTATACATGCCTCTATTATCCCATTAATTAAAATGTATTTTCAAACAGAGCGAATTAAGCAATTTACTAACAACTATTTGTAGAGCACTTAGCTGATTAGCAGAATCTGCATACACTAGCAACATAAAATTTCCTTGGAGGATATAAGATACACACAGGTGAGGCTGTTAACAATGAAACTCCACAATTACTATTCTAATTACCAATGCACTTCATGTGACTGCAATGCAAGTATACATCTCAAAAATCACTTTAACTTTAAGTTCTAATACACTATCAAGTCAGGAAAATCTCTTTTTAAATTGTTGTTTTGATTGGTTTTAGTAAGTGAAAATTGATTCGGACAAGCTAAGCTTGTCCATGTTTGTGTTTGTGTTTAGCAAACCATCAAACAGGGGTGATACCCAAAGTTTTATGAATGCTAGTCTTTCATGTTTGAAATACCAATAAATTGACTTGAAGATTTGATGTACAATATAGAATATACTAAACGTGCATTATATGATTCACTTTTTTGGGATTTAGATTAGAAGATTCCAGGCACTCTAATTGGATTTTGATGACATTAATTTTACAAATAGATTAAGTGTGTATAGGAGATTTTAAAATAGATAACCCTGATATATTTAAGAGAAAAAATGAACTTTTTGATAATTTGCAGAAGAAAAAAGACAATTGCCAGGAAAGAGTCAGATTTTCACTAGACTAACATGCCCTTATTTTATGACAGTGTTGTTTTGGTTTCTAGTGACATACAGATTGGGAAGTAGCACTGTTTTCTTTGCACATGGAACCAATTTAAGATTCTAATTAACCCTAAATATTAAGAGCAGTTGTGCCATTTTGCTTATGCATCTTTGTACCTACTTGATCTTAAAAAAATATTATAAAATAAGTTATCCTAAGTTTGATAGTTCAGGTATTTTCTAAGACAAACAGTTTCATACATTTTAAAAATATCAAACATCAAAAATTGCTTTAAAAACATCCATATATGTATATACTATATATAGTATATAACTATTTATAGTATATAATCATATACATATATGTTCATGTATATACATACACATTCATATATACCCATGTATACATACGTATATAGACACATATATTTTTGTGAGATGGTTCTTTCTACTTAGTCTATGATAGCCAAGAACTTGCTACACAACCCAGGCTAACTTTGACGTTGCCCTCCTGAAGGCTGAAGGCAGGTAATGGGAGGAGTAATAAATTAGAATATGAGGTTGGTTGGTTTTCAGTTCTCTTATGAATATTTGGTTTTTGATGGTGAATGAGTGCCTAAAATATATTTGATGCTGAAAGTGTAAAATTTAATGTACATTTATTTGCACAGCTTGCATTCTGAAAGCCTATTTTAGCTGGGTTAAGGTATTTTAAGTTTCATAGACTTCAAATCTGCTTAATTGTGGTGTGTGATTTTTTTCAGGATTTTTTTGTGATAAAGTTTATAATTTTTAAAGTAAGAAATTGGTATCATTCTGGCTCAATACTCTAGGTTTTAGGATTAGAGAAATCTGCCACATGGCTGATTATTCTGTTGTTATTGCTGTTACTATTCCTAATAATGTGGCATGTATTTTATGGGACAGTAGGTGATTCAGCTGTAGCCAAGTAGCCAATTGTGCTACTTAAACTACCTCTTTGGGAAAAATACTCTTTGTAATGAATCAGCTGTAATAAAGATGAGATCACTCCAGTGAAGA